CTACGCTCATTTTGTTTTTCTATAAAGGAGGCCACCCTAAGAGATATCCAGAAAGCAAATTGGATACTTTTTCACACATCGACATCATAAAGGGGAAAAAAATCTAAGTTTATGTTTTCTAGCATTTATGTATGACTTACAGACTTTCTTCTTACTCTTTGTAGAAACGGTGTGGAATATTCTTGGTAAAATTATTCAGCCTAGTTGTCTCAATTGACAATGTCTGATTAAGGTTTATACTTAGCTTTAGGGTTGAAATCAGGCTTATGACTGTATTTGCTGGGTATTTTGTGATTTATTTAATGTCAGAAATATGAGCAAAAGCCTTTTTCTCTAACTTTTAGTTTCACAATTCAAATCTTCTCACATTAACAGATACATTTTTTATTGTTGTATTATATCTTGCAAGGCTGTCATTTGAGAAGTGCCCATTTGACAGGTCAGATGGTTTTCTTTCTAACTTGTAAGTTGTGTGAAATTCTTTCAGCACGAGGCTGTTATTATATTGACAGCTGCAATTAATGCTAGCATTTATTGTGAATGTGAAGGGGCACACCTTTATTAGACTTGTTACAACCTGATTGTCATAAAACATTTTTTTTTTTTTACCACCATCATGTTTTGACTTTTTTTTTTCTTCCCATGAAACTTACCTTTTTATTAATCCTCTCTTTTGCTTTGGTGACAGACGTTTTTCACTCTTGAGCAATATATAAATAATGTATTCCGGTAATATAAGCCAATTGAACTTGTTTTTAAAACCTTGCAAATACTGGCCACCATTTTCAGCAAGACTTGTATTTTTTTCTAATCACGCTTTGCTTCTACTGCTCTGAGTCTCGGCTTTGATGTTTGCTGAAGCTCTGCCCCAGTCCAATGTGTTTTGTGCTGCACTGGTATCCCACACTATAGGAAAAGCCTCAAGTTGTTGTTCAGCAGGTTGGTTAAACAGCAGGATCTCCATTCAGATGTTGATGTTTGCAATGAGCCGTTTGTGTGATTATAAGCCACGTTGGCATGAAAATTGCAGAGGCCTAATGCTTGTACAGGATTGCCTTGCTGTTATATAGTACTAATTAAAAAATAATGCATGTCTGCTCTTGCCCATCTGCTATTAGACCCTGTTTAGCCTACAGGTTTGCTTTGAAAGGCTCCCTCATTACTACTCCTCAAAGAAATATCATACAATAGTGAGTTGAAAAGGGCAATGCTTGAATGGAGTCTGAAAGAGGAGGCTGTACTTGGCCTTCAAATACACATTCCTTCGGCTCAGTGCTTCCTCTGTGGTCCCCCGCTTCTGGCCCACTCCCCCCCAGCCCCCCACCCCCCTCCCACTCAAGACTCAGTTCCCACAGGGGACTCAGCCAAAGCAAACTCCTCAGAGGAAGTCTCCCTCTCCTTACAGTGTGAGGGGAAAGAGAGGGATGCATGTCCAATCCAGGCCCTGTGGGACCTGAGAGGCAGTAGGATGTGCGGGGAGGCTGTTATGGCTCCGTGGTCATGCTGTGTCTATGATGTGGTGGTGAGTAAAGCCTGTGCGGCTGCTCTCCTGTGAGGTCAGTGTCATATTTAGCCAGCAGGTCCCTTGTGGTGTCTGGGAGTGTCTGTTTTCTGGCTCTATTATGTCTACTGCTCATAGCCTTCCTGGAGCTGGAAACCTCAGGGTAGAAATAGCACCAGACGAGCAGACATCCTTTGTCAGGAAAACAGCAGTCACGTCAGTAATTACAGAGTCTGATTACAGCGGCCAAGCAGCTCTTAGAATACCACTGGCCTGGATCCAAAGGCAGGTGAGGGGTCGAGTCACCGTTGAGTGGGATGCAGTCTGGACGAGGTCTGGGTTAAAGGAGTTAACCTACAGTAGCAAAAACAAATACAAAGCTTTGTGTGTGAAAGGTGTGGTATGCTGCGACTGGTTGGACAGGTGGAGGCGAGGGGAGTGTCCTGACAAACACGCACAGCATGAAGCACTGAGCCCATAGTTGTAAATATAAAACAAATACAAAGTGGAATTTATTGCTGTTTGTTTTACTAGAGTTATTTATTAAGCAACTGTTAAAACTCTTTCCAGTTATTTTAAATTTGTTCTGTGAATCGCATTGACAGCATCATGAAGTTTAACCAGTAAAGTTGGTGTCTTAATCTGCATAAGATTCATGTAGGAAGATTTCCGACTGGAAATTATCTATATTTATCAACTGAAAGCCATCTAAGTTAGAGTAAATAAAACTGATAGTTCTGCATATCACCTTCCCTTCGATGTGATGTACAATGAATCCCAATGCAGCTCTACCCTTCATTGATCTCATGTAAGAGAACCACAATAGCTTTATGTGCTTGGGTTCCAGGGTGTGAATTAAAATGGGATAAAATAGTAAAGAGAACTTTAATGGATTCCTGAGAATCAGAAACAAACTTTTCCCACCTTGCTAGTTAATACCCAGAGAAAACAAAGGACATTTTACAATTGTTCCAAAAGAAAAAATCGATTTGATGCAAAAAACGTCAAGTTACATCCATCTAAATTATGGAGAAAAGGACAAAAGCGCTTAGTTAATACAGTGCCCACATTTCTGTTCTTGTAAAAACGTTAATTTCATTGTAAATTTGCATTTAATTCAATTTCAGACCATAAATGGAGATCATATAAGACTAGCAAAGCTCAAGTTTAATCGAAAATTAACAGTTTACTAACACTGTATTTTGTCTCAATCAAATAAATCTTTATCAATGAAACTGATATAGATCCATCCATCCTAAAAATAAAAAACAAACAAAAAAACAAACTTAATATGGTTATAAAGTAATGCTGTTTATCAGTATACTATCAACATGACGGCATTATATACACCTTTTTTTTTTGCCATCAACAAGTAACCATGACTCGACAGGCTGCAGCCACGTCCCAAATTCCTCTTTTTCCAGCCACTTTTGTTGAAATTTGAATTTTCCCATTCTCTAGCTTTCTCTCCGCCACAAGCTTCTTTTTCAAACATACAGCTTTACGCAGTTCCATGGAAACACGCTGAAGCAGTTATATCTGACGAAACTGTTTTTAGAAATCTTTTTTTTTATAATTTTAAACGCTGCGATAATCACATTTAATGAATTTTAATGCCAATTAAGGCCTTATTTAAAAAAATTATTTAATGATTTTGAATGACCTGAGGAAACCCTGGTGTAGTTTAACTAATCATATTACAAAAATCTGGCTGAGCAGCTAGCATGACTAAACAGCATTAGACTGGTTTAATAGCAGGCTGAAGTATTCATGGTAAGTTATTCAACTTGACATGCTTGAGCCAAATTCCAGATGAATTTTGACTTCCTGCTAGTTATAATGCTGCTCAGGTGGATGAAGTTCAAGCAAATAATGTTGAAAATGTATCTTTAGAACTTTAATTGGATTAATTTGTTAATGCAACTGTTTTGCAACTAGTGTGATCCATAATGACCAGGTTCCCCTTCCAAATATCCTATTAGGGATTCAAATTATTGATATAAAGATAAAAGAAAGGTAAAAATAAAATTTTAAGGTGTGCAAAGCATTCCAAACATTTGCCTTAGGCCTTATGTAATTACACCAGAGGAACTATATCAGCACATTGAGGATTTTTCTTGTTTAGAACGTCTGGCTAGGTAATTGAAAATGCTGGTTATATACAAACCAACATGCTTGACTCATTTTAATTCATTTCAACGATTGATATCTAAAGTCATTCTAAATTCCCTTTTCTTCTTTTTTTACTGTATGATACATTTTTTCTTTATTTCAGATGTGCTGCCCCAGTCCGAACTTCCCACCTCCACTATTTATCACACACATACGTGCTCCTATGAATACACACACCCTCCCACATGCACATACGTGTCTACACCCCTTTAACCACCCACCTGACCACACATCACAGCTGTACACACACACACACACACACACACACACACACAGCCGCGCATTGTGTAGAAAACTGCCTTAGACATGATGTATAACCAGCCAGGCTTCTCGCAAAACTTTCTATATTTAGGTGATTACAGGGAAGCAGCGATGAAAATTTTTCATAGACGTAAACCTGTAGGAGCGTTTTTCATTGAAGATTTCAGAGGGGAAGTAATCATTTCTCTTGAATAGCACACTGAGAAATGGGAGTGTAGGCCCTTCCTGCAGGCAGGATGTCATAGTAGTGAGTAAGAGAGCGGAGGCAGGTCTGTGCGGGCCTATGTGCCTGACTAAGTAAATATATCCTCTGTCTGACAAGTGCAGACCTGAGGGCTTTGAGTAGGTTAGCTATCCTGGAGTTTGCCACACATGTGGGAAAACTATAATTTTATGGGGGGGGGATTCAGGACTTTGCACCTAGACAGATACTTTAACTTATTTCTGGTTTTTAGAATGCCCTCAACCTGCACATGACTCTGCAGTTCCATGGACTTTGCGCTCCCATCTGCAGTCAGATTTGAGTGCAATTACTTTAATTTGTCTTCCTCCCTGTCTGCCTTTGGACTGCGGTGTCTCTGTGGTTTGTGGAGTCGATCTGCTCCACCTGACGGCGCCTCTTCTCCTTGGCAGGCAGCAGTGTAGCCCTATGCTGGCTGCCAGCCAGGCCCGCTTGAGTGTCTGCTCAGCTCAAAGACCCGCTCACACACAAGCACACAAAAAAACACACACAGATGCAGGCATGCCAAGCCCAGAGATTGAATGCTTACACAGACGCATCTTCCATCCTCTTTGCTTCACTGTGGCTCTGTAATTTGCTCCCTTTCCATGACCGTCTCTTATTTACTGTGGGAAGGAATTCTAAAACATCTCCTCATGTTCTGACAAATCTCCACACCACTCATGAATAACACCTTTTGCAGTCATAGGGCAGTGTGTTTTTTTTTTTTTTTTTTAAGTTGTGGGCTCTGGAGATATCCACTGTACTCTGTGATGTAATGTGTGCTTATCGTCGCAGCTAGGATGTCGATGATTAAATATCTACTTTCTACCTCTTTGCAGTCTCCCAGCCCGATCCCCGCCAAGAAGTCCAAATTTGACAAATTGCAGTCTCCGCCAGCTGACAAAGACAGGAAACCTGAGTGGTTACAGTCACTGTCCAAGTCTGCACACAAGGTTTGTACACTTTACAGTAAGCAGAAATGTTCATATCTCATTGAGCTTTTTTAAATTTTGTCACCTTACAACCACTTTTTTTTAGCTTTTAGGTCAAACACCAGCAGAAAGTAGGAAATAGTTGAGAAATTATCAGTTTAAAAAGTAATAAAAAGGTCCGGTATGCATTGGTATTAAACCGTTTCAATTTCATTTCAATTCAATTCAGTTTATTTATATAGTGCCAATTCACAACACAAGTCATCTCAAGGCACTTTACAGTTCACCAGATCATAAAGTCAAATTGATTCAAAGTTTTCTATCTAAGGAAATCCAGTTGATTTCATCGACTCATTGACTCAAATGCAATCCCTCACACTAAGCATGCTTGTAGCGACAGTGGAGAGGAAAAACTCCCTTTTAACAGAAAGAAACCTCCAGCAGAACCAGGCTCAGTGTGAGCGGCCATCTGCTGAGGCCGACGTTTTACATTGAATTACAATAATTTAATGCCTTCTGAGGGCGGCTAGTTAATGAATGGAGTCCACCTGTCTCAAGAGGCACAGCAAGGCAGGCTGGGAAGTTTAAAGCTATGTAGTTTTAAAACTAGAATCTAAGTTTTAGATATCTTATTCAGCCCTGTTCATTCCATGAAATAAAAGTAGTATGGCACAAGTTAAATAAAAAACAAAGAGAGACAAGAACCTGATGTTAGCTTTGGATAAGCTGCAATGAGCCACAGCTCAGCTCTTTAAATGGGGGAAAACTGTAAGCACTCCTTCTGTGGTGAAGAATGGCATTAGCAGCATCATGCTGTTGCAATGCATGTTTTTTTCTACCGTGACGGAGAAGCTGGTGCTAAAATCAGATCAGTCCTGAAAAAAAATCGGTTTTAAAAGAATTATGATTAAAGCAAAGTCAAGGTATATCCTTCAGCAGACGGGCAACAGGAAATATAAAAAGAAAACAAAAGGTAGTTCCACTAAGTTGACTCAGGAAGGTTAAGCACAAACTTAAACTACATTTTCACATGTTATTTCATTGTCTTAATTCTTCCCTCCTCTGTGTTGGTCTAATATTATCATCATAAGCTTTGTGGAGTTCATTGAAGTTGTAGCAGAATCATAACAAGCAGTGAAAAGCTTCAGCGATGTAGGTCTGTTAAGGTCGAAGATCACAAGACTAGCACTCCTTACAGTCACTGCATGGCTGTGTACGTATGACCTCTAATTATATGGCCATGTTTAAAATAGAGGGGCCTTTGAACACTTTCTCCATGGCTGATTTAATGTTCCTGTGGTAGTTCACTGGGTTTAATGGAGGTTGTTGTTTGCTCTCAACAGGATCTGAAACAGGTCCAGCTGAAACAAAGGCCCTCTGCTTTCCGCCCCTGGTCTCCAAAAGTTGTCGAAAAGGAAAAGCCGGCACCTCAAAAGGAAGCGGAGAGGTGAGCCATCTAAACAAATCAGTTTCATTATATCCAATAAGTACGGAAGGGCTTATTATTTATTTTTTCTTACACATTTATGTTCCACAGAATCTGTATAAGGACTCAGGAGACTCTGGCTAGTCCTCTTCCGCTCCATCCCAACGACAGCCACATTTTAGGATCCAAAACCATTTCCAGAAAAGAGCCGCATAACAGCAAACTACCCCATTCTCTCTCTTCTAATCAGACCGAAGACATAGAGACGGATGGAGAGATCGATGTGGACGACTGCGATGATGGTACGTTTCAACCATCGGCTGGTCCAATTTGAAAAAGCAATAAATTCAGCATTGCACAATCAGTCCACAGAGGCACTTTTTTTAGTTGCAATTGTTTTCCATGGTGAGCAAAGGACATGAATCACAGTGGAGCTGGTTGAGTGCTCTTTCAGCTTAACTGCGCCATCTAGTGTTTAACATATGAACCAAAAACAACTTAATTTGTTTTCACAAACTTAGTCTTCTTCTTAAAGGTATAGTGGAGGATCTTCTTTTTCTGGGTGGATCATCAAAATAAGTGGTCCTCCTAATTGTCAATCATTCTGATGATATGTTTACGTAAGGCCGTCCTATTTGCTCGTCCCCATTTTCACTTACCGGTGGTGAGTCTGACATATTGGACAAATTTAAATTCTTCTTTTGGAAAGTAAGCTTGTTGGAGCGATTCAAACAGCAACTTTTAAACGGAGCGTGCACGAGGAGAAATGGGATGGTGCATGCTCTCTGGCGTGATTAATAGGCGTTCTCTCTTGGGAGCGGGTACAGGGTTGTGCATTTGCATTCTTTTTGGAGAGGAGTTAAGAGGTCTTTTAAAAAATTTGCTAAAATCCTCCATTATACCTTTAAGTGTAAAAACCCAATATGAAACAGAACTATTTTTTGTTTTAGCATAGATTATTTGACTAAATTAGTATAGATAAAATAAATTGTGAAATCCTTTTAGGTCCATTTCCAGCTTCCTCCTTGACTTCACCTCAGTCGTCGTGTGTCGGAGTGTCTCAGAGCCTGTCTCCTCAGAGGCCTCCTCAGGCCCAGGATTTAACTCCATGGCAGTCTGGGACTGTTTGTCCAGAGATAGACGCCATGAGACAGATGGTATATGCAGGAATGGACACCAGAGAGGCCAGAGAAAAAGTCCTGCAGGAAATCATCCGGATGAGAGTGAAGCAGGAGGAGAAGCTGGCAGCCGCCCTGCAAGCCAAGCGCAGCCTGCAGCAGGTATCTCTTCACCTTAAAAAAGATTATATTGCACTTTAAAAAAAAGCCCTCTGTGCATTTAGCTTGTGTCCAAAAGAAATTGCAGAAAAAAATAGTTTTTCCATATAGTTCGCTGTACTGAAGAGAAATTATTTTTGTATAAATTTAGTAGAAAGTTTAAATATCTTATGGATATTCTATTGTTTAGGAGTACCAATAAAAATACTTATGTACTCATTTCTTCTTAAAGTACAATTCATTGATTTAAAAAAAATTAAATCAAATATATCATGAATCATCCAAAAGAAGATACATTAAGTTGGTTAAAGGCACATCTTTAAAACCTCTGTATGAAAGTAGATGTTAGAAAGTATAATATGGGTGATTTTTTTTGTCTTTTTCCAGGAATTGGAGTTTGTGAGGGTGGCTAAGAAAGGCCGTCTACGTGATGCCATCGAAGCCAAGCGCAACTTACGGAAAGAGATTGAGCGCCTCCGTGTGGACTGGGAGAGGAAGATGAGGGAGGCAGAGGAATCCTGTGGGCGACTGAAGAGAGAGCTGGAGAGAGAGAGACAAGTCCGAGTTTGTGACCAAGGTTGTGAAGCTGAACGTCTTCGAGTGAAGTACTCCACTCAGGTACGCTGCCCCAATTCCCTTGGAAACAGTGAGGAGAGTGATTAACAGTTCTATTTATTGACACTGTCGATTCTAAAAAAGTGCTGAAATATTACTCAGTGGTAGAATAACAAAATATGTTTGCTCTTAAAGAATTCTTCAATATTCGATAATCTAAACACCTTCTTTCTGTCGTTCATTCATTGTTTCCATCCTTCTTTCTAACTTCCTGCACCTCTTCATACCCCTTTACCCATCTTTCCCTGCTCTCCCTTTTCCTCTCTTCTTCCTTTACTTACTTCCTTATAGCTGCTACATACTCAGAGAACCGAGACATTTTCTCTGGCTCCCGCCAGCGAATTACATCATTTCGTTCTCTCAGCCCAGTCTTGGGGAGTCTCGCTGCTCGTTCTCAGCACAAAGTCTGGAAAAGAACTTTTTCCTAACTCGATGTGCTGTGATTGGGCAGGATTTAGATGGGCAAGTTTGGGAGGGAAAAGGACAGATGCCCCAAGTATCAGTCAAACTTAACACTGTGGTGGCGCAGTGGTACAGGCTTCAGTGGTCCAACGTGCCACTTCTGCTCTCTTGTAGCATTTTCGTTATGCTAGTGGGGCAGCACCCACGCACGCACCAGACTCTTTACAAAAAGCACCAGAGGACTCCGTGAGCTCTTCTATCTGCTCCCTGCTCTGTGCTAAGCTTGCTCTCTGCCCCTCCCCTATTCGTTCTTCAATGACCTTCAGTGACGTGTTATTGGGAGCTTGACTTCAAGGGCCCAGTTTTTCGTGGAGTATGAATTCCTTCAGGGAAAGCAAACTTTATGTTCTCATTCTTGAGAACATAAACAATAAGAAATGTCTCTGTTCTCATGGAGGATGTAGCAGTCTTTGATCCCTTGTGGCCTTCTCTCATTGCTTCCTTTCATGTCCTTCTTTCTATCTTTTCATCCCTTCTTCAATTCATGCCTTTTTCTTTGTTTCCTCCCTGTCTTCACCTGTCCTTTATCTTTGTATCCTACTTTCTCGCTTCTCTCTGTCCTTCATTACTTTTATTTTCCATGAATTTCTTATCCTGTAATTCTTTATTCCATGTACTCTTCCTTTCATATTTGTTGCTATCCTGCCCTTTCTGGACTTTACTGCACAGTTAAAGCTAAAACAGGTTATAAATGAAAGGAAAAAGATTCATTAATGCACAAGGAGGAAATTACTAAAATAAGCATTAATGCAAACCCACACAAAGCAATAAGTTTTTTGTAACTATCATCAATAAAAGGGTTAGTTGAAAGATAAAAGGTTAATTTGAGGACTGTTAGTTTAATGCCATCACCCATACAATCCCATTCATTGCTAATCAGTAGCATAAGTTTTGCAATACCAGGCTTTATGTTAATATGTGAAAATTATACCTAGCATCCATAATGAGCTTAAATAAAGCAAGAAATAGCTGCTTTTCATTGCTGCTGCTGTCTTAAAACTGCTGACTTTGTAACCAAACTTCTATGGCAACTCCAGTAGGTCAAAATAGTTTTTACAGCCTCCAGTTAAAAATTGGAAGAAGCAGCACAGTCTGATGCACAGATTATTATTACATCATGTTGAAAAATGCAGACTTGGCATCTTTTATGTGCATGTATCAGATTTGTTTCATTATTGCTTTAACTTATTTAAATGTTAAAATAGGCATGCACTGCAAAACGCCAAAATCATTTTTTTCTTTAAAATAAGTGCTTTTTTTCTTTAATTGAGAAGGTAATTGAAACAATCTACCCATGGAACAAGACAATTAACATTTGAAATAAGAAAAAAATATTCGCAGTCTCTTATTTCAGGTGCATAATATCAAATTATCTTATTTTAAGGGTAAAAATACTCATTCCATTGGCAGAACATCTTATTTACCTACTGAAATTAAGAATTAATGCACTTATTTTATTAGTTTTTTACTCATTTTTAGATAGTTTTTGCAAACAGCTGGACCAAAAAGCCATCTTGTTCAGAAATCTCATTTGTGTTATATCTCTCACAGTATCATAAAGCTTTTCTTTTGCATTCAGTTTGCTCTGCCACCTGAGTTTTTTTGGGGGGATTTTTCACAAGCCAATTAGATGTTGTTTTTACTTGTTATTCTAATGAACTTTGCACGTGTGTGGTTGTGTTGTGTAGATCGAGGAGTTGCACGTCCAGCTGCAGCAGGCGGAGGCAGACCGAGAGCAGCTGCGGCAGGAACTGCAGCAGGAGAGAGAAGCTCGGCAGAGCCTGGAGAGCGTGGTGAAAGACCTGCAAACCCAGCTGGCCCTGCAGGCCAGCAGCAGTCCACCTGGAGACTGCAAGAACCCAAAAAAAGACACAAAAAGCCAAACCACACAGCCCAGCAAAGGATCCTAAAGTTGTCCATGTACAAAAGAAATAAACTGAATGGAGAGACTCAACTGAATGGAGCTCCTGTTAAGAAAAAGAAAAAGTCACTTTTGTAGAGGAAATAAATCTGTCATATATATGTTATAGTATTCATCAATATTATTATAAGAATACAACAAAAATCACTACATGAACTGGAAAAGAAGCATGGGCATGGTTTAGAGTGTGAAACTATGAGAGACTTGTTCGGCGATTAAACACACATCCTTTCAGTGACGTCGGCGCCCGCCTCCTGATGCCGCCCAAGTTTTTGTTTCGGTATAAGCTATTCTGAGACATTCAAACACAGCTACACAACACTACTTGAATATAAAGGGAAGGAATAGGCTGCGTCTGGTTGAACGAGAGCAGACAATTAAGTCTTTGTGCCACAACACTTGTGTAACACAGAGGTGTCACTGCAGACCACTGAAAGCTCACCACTACTTACTTTAGGTGTCTGCTTGATTCTCCTAACCTTGGAGCATTTTAACAAATGTTTTTTGCTCAGTTCCACCAGCGAGAGAAAAACAACCCTATATAAACACATATAGCAGCTTATCTACCTTTTGTATTTGATATAAACCTGAAGTATTAGTGGTTTGGTGGGCTGTCTCCATGCTCACCATTGTTTAACTCCTAGATATTTTATGTGTTACTTTTTGTTGCTTGTTGTTGTTTTGTTTTTCACTCCCAAGCCATCCAGAGGAATAGTTTGCCCACTTTAGTTTACATACGTTGTTTTTAACCCACTCCTTAAAAAAAAGAAAATCCTACACAGCTGAAAATGGTACTTTAGATTTTTTTTTTATAATATAATTTATGATCTATAATGAATTGCTGCCTATTGAGAGAAAGCAGTCTTTTTTCTTTGTTGGGGTCTTCAGTTTTAGGGCTCTTAAATCAACAGTGGCTGTTTGTATGGAAAACATTTTTACATATATAAAAAATATGGATATCTATTTTTTTACTTTGAGAAAAGTAATTGCACTTTTTAAAGACAAAACCGAGGGTTGTGCTCCCTGTTACGATTTTTAGAATCCGAAAATAACAAACTCTGAAATTAAAAATCACCTTTTTCTCAGTATGCCGTTTGATGTAAATACAGTATTGTAAATAAGATGTTCGTTGGTATGGTATGTTTTCTGCTTGCCCCAGACTTAAGTTGATTATGCATATTATTTCTTATTACTTGAAACCAAAAAAGAAAAAAACAGAGAGACTATTTGAATTTTTAAAACTGCAACCTGATTGTTGCTGATTCCTAAAAATCTCTGCAGCAGCCGGGCGTATACCAGCCAGGTAGACCGATCCAGGAAATCTATTTGTAGTTGTGATTTTCTCACACCACAAGAACTCTAAAACCTCTAGCTTGATTTCTAGAAGATTAAATATTTTATGAATTACACATTCTATAGTTAACTTCTGACCAAAACTGACAAATATAGGATCTCATTCTCAGCACTTCCAGCTCTTAGACCGTCTGATGGTTTTTGAACCTTTTTGGTGCTCTTGTGTGTAAAAGACAAGAAACACTTTCATGTCTTATCATTACAATACCCTCACTCAGTATTTGTTGGGTACAGTGTAATAGCAGTATCCGAGTTGTTTGCTGATGCTTCTGTACTTTTTCGGGGTCTGGAATGGGGTTTTCACTGGCCTCTTGTTTCGATGTTTCTTTTTCCTTTCAGAGAACATGTATAATACCCATTAAAATTTAAACCAGTTCTACTCCGTCCAGTTTGTTGTGCTTGTTCGTTTATGTGGATGTGTCTGCATTTTTTTAGTCTTAATTTTGGTTAGAATCAAATTCAATTTTTTTTTTATTGTCTTGTTTTTAATGAACGCTTTGCTCAGCTAGAGATATATTATTGTTTGGTCATTCTTAATAATAAACAGACCTGTGCAAAGCCTAAGTCATCCCGGTCATGACAGCCATAGAAAAAAGGCTTTGAATCGGAGGCTACCAGAATAAGACTTTTTTTAAAACTGGTTCCTCCCAAAGCCAGAACACCCAAACCATAGCTGAGTAGTGTTGTTCATGTGTTCCAGTGCAGCGAGGACTGTTCAGACTCTTGCAGGGGAGAAACCAAACAATAACCACAAAAGCACATGGCAAAGCACAGCCCAACAGCACACACCTTCAACAACCAAAATGTTCAGATCTTTGACAGAGACGACGGGTGTTTCTAAACAAGGATGATGGAGGCCATCTTTGTTGAAAGAGAAAAGCCACCACTGAACTAAGGGGGAGTATTGCATTGAGAGCACACAATACAACTTAGTCCTAGAGCTCATTCCAACTAAATTACACATGCAGTCTCATCACAAAGACAAACAGCAGAATCCTGTATCAGGAAAAGTACGGGTGTGTCATTGATTTGCATCTGTTTTGGAGTATGCTTAGGAGGATGGACCTCCAGGTGTTTAGTAATATCAGCTCTCCAACTGCAGATTGCTCTATTGCAGGTCAATAGAATTGACAAAGACCTTAGGATACTTTCCAAAACATTTTCAGAAAAACTCCAAAAATCTAACATACTTTGGCCAGTTATATGCCCATACAAAAAAGACCAAACACCACTTTGAAATGATAAAATAAGGTTATATACACTAAGCATCAGTCCTGATATTGTTGAGATTTGGCCAAATTTGGTCCTGACGCTAGAAGGACCTCTTACATGAGCTGTCCTGTACGTATCCTCCAATAGTAAAATTAAACTTGTCTAAGGCAGGGTATGGAAGTTCCTTACACTGCTGGGACAGTGTCCATTGCTGATGTCATTCAGGATAACATCTTTATAAGATTATTTTGTGATTTATGAGTATATCAAACATGGATGAACTGAAAGTACTGCATATTATGGCATTTAAAATGTGCAATTACAAGAGGATATGAAAATCAGTCATGTTTATTTATACACAGCAACATTTCTGCATGGTTTTATTTTCTGAGTCGAGGCAGTTTCTTATGAGCTCTCGATCTGACTTTTACAGACAAAATAAAAAAAAGATATCTAGGGCCTTTTTTAAGCAGAAAAGACCATTCTATGTAACTTTTTTTGTACTGGTACATGCTTTTAATGAATTACCAAATAAGCAGAAATGCTCATCGTGGTCAGAGTAGATCTTGAACACATTCACCCAAACAAGTATTTGTATAGATCTCTACATTGTCTGTGTGAGAGGGAAATTCTCAGACAAAAATATTTTGTAGCATTTTCAAAATCTAAAATATTAGTTTTACATTATCTGAGACCAGTAAATGTCATTAAATGTAATTTTTTTGTTAAAGCAACATTGTTTTCTCTTAGTGTGTAGAGCTGCAGTGGCTTTAGCACTGAGATGCAATGAGGTGATCTGAAGGACGTTGTCATGGAGTTAGCTACTTTAGGATTAAATGTTTGATTTTGAGTGAATTATAAAACTACATCATTTTTATGTCTTTTGCAAACCCAACTGGAAGCTTTCAGAGAAGTTTCTCTGCTGTTATCTGGGCCAGAAGCTCAGGTGAACGTCCCTCTGATCTCTTTCGCACATGTAATTTGGGCTTACAGTTATTTGCTTTTCCATTTGGGTATGCAAAATAGGCGAGAATGTCAGAAAATGAGGTGGATGTTAAGAGTATCACAACAAAAAAACTGTTTACAGATTTACAAGCTGCAGGCTTAAGCAGCTGAGGGCTGGTCAGCTGAACTGTTTAGTCCGTTAATATCAGCTTGTTATCCTATATCTGGAACAAAATTACAAAATATGTCATTATGTTCTTTAAGAATGAGTAATACTACTAAATTGCATGTATTCTTTATATTTTTGATTTAATTTATGAATCAAAATTAGATTAAAAGTAAAAAGAACTTCACCATTGGATCATGTTATATTTCTGTGTACCTGTACCAAACATTAATGCAAAAAGAAATAATGAAGCTGTACATCATGCAATTGCCTCTAGATGGAAATCATAACTCCTAATTTAAGAAATTATACTTTCTCCTTGCTAGCAACATCATACAAACCCACCAGCAAACACATTTTGTCTTTGAATAAATAGATTTCTTAATTCTTAAATTTCAAAATTGTTCTCAGGTAAAGATAAATAAACTTGCAATCTTTGCAGTCCCAGTCTCCTTCCACAGGAGCTTACTGGCTTCATAGAAAATCCCTCCATCAAGGCAAGGCTGAAGCCTCACTATGGGATTATAGCTTGAAGAAGATTTAGTGCCTCCTACACCTACGAGTTGCGCACTTCCTCACTGAGCAAAAGTAAACAAAAAGAAGAGCCTGTGGACGACTCACTGGACTGAGAATGAACTTTTTAACATAACATCTTTGTTCTTCTATCCAGCGTGGGAAGATTGATGAGAACAGGTATGTCATATTGCTGAGAAACTGAGAAAAGCTATGCTACACAAACACTTTCCGTTGGAGGCGGTAGGAAGGTAGGTTTATTCTATATGAATGGGACAGGAGAGCAGGAACCAAATGTATGGTTCAGAGATGAACAAGCCTTCAGCAATGGCCCCACCATCTCTTGGCCAGAGTGGGAGCCCGGCACTGTCCTCTCGGTCCCCTAAGAAGACCACCTTTCCGTCTTTGGGATCTGTATCATCAGGGATGTTTTCCCCCTCACTTGCCAAACGCTCCACTCATGAAGCCAAGCACACCTCAAGCCCCGTGAACTCTCCCACCCATTCCATCATGAGCTCCCCCAAACTTTGGCAGAAAGCATCTGTCTCCAGACTCGCTGAGGAGTTTTTCTGGATTGGTGGCAGTGTGGTGGCACAACCCAAATGGAGGTTGGGTCAAATAGGTAAGCACCTTTTCATAAATAATACATCCTCTTGGCATATTTTAAGATATTTTTAAAGTTGACCCTTAAAAGGTTGTTAGCTGTACAAATAGCAGAGCAGGGAAGCAGAGAAGCAGATAATGAGCATATGGAATGCAGACAATCCTTTAGGATTAGCCTGAATGATGTGCCAGATTGAGTCACATGTATCTGAGCTTCAGATTACTAGCAAAGGTTACCTGTTCATGGCACACAAAAACAATGACCTGACCATGATCTGAATATACCACATGTAACTTACTACATGCTTGTCCTACGTACTGTAAATTTGCACAGAAAATAATCTATTTTCATATTTTGGAGCAGTCCTCGCTGAATCTGTTTAGGATGTTGATGTTGTTGTTTTATCAATAACACATAGGCAGCCAACTAAAAGAAATTTACACTATCTATAATCTTATAAACAGATGGTCAGGGATCATATTTGGAAGATATTTTTTTTTACGTATTTGATTGGTATAAAAAGAAAATCATAGCCCCATTATATTTTAGTGTAAGTACCTATAATCATTATTATTTAGATGATTTTGTATTTTATTTTGCAATTCATTAGTTTATTTAGATATCATAATGCATATGATCAACTGTCTACAGTATATTTTTGTTTTAAATAATCGTTATTTCAGTGCCTTCATGTTTAATTTCCATGCTCAGGTTTTAGAGGGACTGAAAACAATGCTTTAATGTTATTTCCTCTCTAGTGGAGAGGTGCATGTGCACCATGCAGACTGGCACTCAGATGACCAAACTGAAGGGGAAGAAGAAAGGGCTGGTCCGTTTTTTCTACCTGGATGAACACAAGTCCTGCATCCGATGGCGGCCTTCAAAAAAACACGACAAGGCCAAAAGTGAGGGTTCATTGGTTTTTTTTATCAATACAGCTCTATCAATGAGCAAATCTGATCCAAAAGCGCTGTTTTAGAAATGTGAAAGAGCTGTCAATAGCTGAACCAAAGCTTAAAATAGAAGGTTGAGGACATACATATAGATGACAAACCAGATGAAAGGGATATTATCTTTTCCAAATGCATAACCATGAAGCAAACTTTTAAAAAACAATTTAAATGTTTCTTGTCATGCATTTTTTTTTTTTTTTACTTTTTAACACAAAACTTAGCTCAGATGAATCTAATTTCCTATGTTCATCCCTGAGAATCTTAAACTTTACTCTAGCCCGCTCATGTTTACTTCTGTTAACTGAAGGTTTGTTGGGGAACATCCTTTTCTTTGTGAGGTCTCAGAGCTGATAAGGCATATCAGAGCAGAAACTGACCTCAGAAGTCAAAGGAACTGTCTGTAGACAAACTCTAACGATGCAAAAACCTGGATAAATTATCAGCACTGGACATGCTAAAAAGCATGTCCAGCAGAGATGATTTTAATCACACGCACTTCCTCTTGATCTTCCTCCCAACCAGATTAGAAAATGAAATGATGCTCAACAGGTAACCCAGTATCCAATAATAATTGAATTGGATCTAAAGTGTTCCCTTGCTGATTAGGGGAACCATCACAAAGATCAACCATTGCTATTTCTACCAATCAGGTCTTTGTTAAAGTGGCCAGTAATAGATATTGTTTTATTAAAAGGCTCATGGCAGCCAGTCTGAATATTACTAACCTGGAATTTATTGATTCTAATACATTTAGGAAACCAGTGTGTGGTCTGAGTGAACCAGCATAGAAAAGTTTGGTCTAAACTCCAAGCAACAAATCTGATTTTAAATAGACGCTGCTCATCAATTGACCATCCCTACTTTGAAGCACAGCAGGGATGGTGTTAGCCAAGGGGCAGCATTATGTTCTGGCGATCTTTTTTTTTTTTTTCTGCTGCAGGAAGTGAGCAACTAGTCCACCATGATAAGTGTAATTACTGCAGCCATATAAAACAAGATAAAAAAAAAATAAAAATTCTCCATGGTGTCTTTATGTTAGACTAAGGTGACAGTCCATCTTTCTTCACATAATAACCCACACCACATACCAAGATAACATGGAGTGGTTTCAACAGGAGTTCATCAGTGGCTAAACCCATCATGTCATGGGGGAACATGTCTGACATACCATGATACATATCTGGAAGGTCCTGTTTATTAGCACCACCCATCAGGAACATCATTTTCTTGCAGATTAGTATAGTATATATCTTATCTGATATGTCAAAATAACACTCTAATAATATCACATTATTGTATACTTATGAACATGTCTTGCCTTGATAGATTCTTTTTTTTTCTTGATTTGTGTTTACCAGCAAAATAGTAGCATGCTTAATTGTTTGGTAATAGCCCAGCCAAATTCCTGCCAAAAACTTGCAATCCTACATGATTACCAATTATTCACTGTTTGCTGTACTTTTCACACAGTCACCAGTGAGAGTGGTTGTACTTAGAAAGAAATTAATTGAGCCTTAAAAAGCAGGCAGACATTTTGCTTATTGTTGGGTGTTTCTTAATAGCAGGAAATATCATGATAACATTTAGAAGAACAGTCTGTTACAAAATGCTTAAGCCCAAAGAGGATGTTAGATTTCCAAGCAATTAGTTTCTTTTTATAATTTTCCATATAATCACTGCCTTCTTCACTTAACCTGAGTGAGGCAAAAGAATAAGAAGATAAAACAATTAACATTTGCATAACACAGCACCATGACCTTGTATTGTAGCTCATGAAAGACACAACACTAGAGCATGACTGGGCATGAGGAGGGAAATAAGAGATTATACCTAAAACAGGAACCACCAAGCCTGTAAAGACATAACCAGGAGGGTTTGAAGCTGTCTCACTAGTGTAAAAATGTGTTTACCTGTGATGCTTGAATCTTTTAGATTTTATTCATTCAAGTACAAAATATATACAAAATATTTATTGAACATTTTGTCATTTTGGTCCTGTGTGTTACTTGTTTTGTTTCTTTTTTCTTCATGATAACTATGCTTTGATATATGATAGAATCAGACTGTGATGTCAACAAGAATATAAAAGGGATCAGGTAGAGGGGTTTGTGGGTTCTCTGTTTACCTGTTTGCTCTTGGTAACTGTTTAAATGCCTAAACCTTTTCTCTGTTCCAGTATCCATTGATTCTATTCATGAGGTTTGTGAGGGGAAGAAATCGGAGATCTTCCGACGTTATGCTGAAAACCGCTTCGACCCAAACTGTTGTTTCAGTATTTACCACGGGGATCGAGTCAAGTCTCTGGACCTGGTCTCCAATAATGCAGAGGATGTGCGCACTTGGATCAACGGCCTGAAGTACCTCATGGCTGGGATCAGTGATGAAGACAGTCTAGCCCGCAGACAACGCACCCGGGATCAATATCCTTTATACAGTCTATCACATTCCTGATGGACGTACAGTTAACTATTAAAAGATGTAATCAGGTTGTATTTAGATTTTGTGATTCAGCCTTAATGGTGGTTTCACATGGCTGCAGCAGACATTCTCTGAGGCAGACAAAAATGGAGATGGTACCTTGAGCATTGGGGAGGTTCATCAGCTGCTCCATAAGCTTAATGTGAATTTACCCAAGCAGAAAGTCAAGGACATGTTTCAGGTGAGAACATTTCTGCAAGCAGCTGTAAATTGCACATAAAGACCACAGCTAGACATCTTTCTTCACTTTAACATACAGAAAAAAAGAAAAAAAGTATTAGGAGTGATTTTCTCTCTGCACAAACATTGAACAATGGCTGCACTTTATGGAATGAGAGCACAGACCTCCACAGCAAATCCATGTGGTCACCACAGGTGACCATAGATGTCAAAAGTTTTATTGTTTATTACTCAAGTAGAAGTAGAAATCCTACTGTTTAAAAACTTAAGCCTTTTACTCAAGTAAAAGTGTAAAAGTACCATTTTTAGAACTACTTAAAGTGTAAAAGTAATGTAACTAAAATTAAGGGCAGATGCTTTACTACACAATTCTGGATGATAACTTCTTTATACCTAATTTTCTTAGTTCTATAACCAATGGTAACAATGTAAAATTTAATATTGCCTCATCTTAAAAAACTATTTATTTTGGTATGTGGTGAACCACAAGTTGGTGCAGTACCAAGTCAAGTACAAAGAAATTCATTTTCTGGAGGAAACAAATGATTTTGATGGTTTTTATTTTTTTAAAATACCAACAGGCCACAATGAAAATCAACTTAAATGAAACAAAACAAGTCTATTTTTAAAATATAAGGAGTAGAAAGTAGAGATGATTGCAAAAAAATGTAAGGAGTCAAATGTTGTGTAAAAAATAATTACTCCAATAAAGTATAAATAGCCAAATTTTCTACTTAAGTAAGGTAACAAAATATTTGTACTCTGCAGATGACCTTAACTGCACTGTAATTAGTTTAGCAGCTTACTGTATTTCTTCTGATGATGACAGCTATGTACGAGCTGTATTTTAATAAAACTTTCTTTCTTTTTCAGATAAGCCTATGCAAAGAGATTTATCCCTGTGGCTAATGAAACTATTGTTACTATGTGCAGGAAGCAGACACAGATGAGATCCAGGGTTCTCTGGGCTTTGACGAATTTTGCTTCTTCTACAAGATGATTTCCACACGCAGGGACCTCTACCTGATTATGATCTCCTACAGCAATCAGAAAGAAGTACTGGATCTACACGACCTTGCGTGTTTTCTGGAAAATGAACAGAAGGTAAAACAGTAAAGTCTGACTGAGATGCCTTTAGGTTGGGACGCCCTATCAAGAAAGCTTTTGTTTAAAACTTGGCTTTATTTTCTATAGATTTGTAAAGAAAAGACATTGAATGTAGAAAAACAAATCACTCAAAGGTAATTTAAAAAAAAATAGTATGATCAATTATTTCTGTGCAGCTCACTGATCTTGACTCGTTCATTCAGTCCTAACCTGCAATGGTCGTAATAAAATTCTGGAATGCCAGCAGGGCATCCCATCTGTTGTAAATGTAATACTTTCAAGTTTACTTCAAAATCTTCTAAATGATCAGTACATTGATCAGCTACAGGATGATCTTGCTTCCTTTTTCTGTTATTGTTTTGCATTTTACAGAATCATTACTTTGTTTTAGAAAACAACATTATTGCATAATTTCTGTCCTGTTTACAATCTAATTGGCTGCTGTAAAATGTTGCTTTGCATATGACTTAAAAAAATAAAGCTTCAAGTAAAATCTATTTCATTAAAAGTTTTATTTTCTCCCTTAACCAAATGCAAACAAATCAAATGTTGGGTTCTTTACATGTTTTTGGTGCCAGATGATGTTACTTTAAAAAACAACAACAAACTGTTATGTAACAACTGCAGAGGGCACTGTGTCATCTAAGCCAAAATAATTTGGAACAAACACAAACCTATTAATACATGAAGCAAGTTTACTAATGTCAAGTTCATTGCAGAAGTGTCAACACATAATCTTTTGCTCTTTATAGATGCGTGGTCTGACCAGAGAGCATCTAGCTGACATTGTGGCTAAGTTTGAACCTTGTCCTGAGAACCTGCAGCATATGGTGCTGGGTATAGACGGTGAGTTGTTGTATCTTATCAAGCATATGATGATAAATAATTAAGTGCATTTTGCCACCTGAAAAAAAAATCATCCTATTAGCATGCAAATAAAATTAATGACAGTCCAAACGGTCCCTTCAAGGTTTCACCAACTACATGCGAAGTCCTGCAGGCGACATCTTTAATCCCGAGCACAATCAGGTGAACCAGGACATGACGCAGCCTCTCACTAATTACTTTATTGCCACGTCACACAACACCTACCTGACTGGAGACCAGCTGCTCTCTCAGTCAAGGGTGGAAATGTATGCCTATGTCCTGCAGGCAGGCTGTCGCTGTGTGGAGGGTAAGAGACTCCAAAAAGGGGAAGTCCCTGTATTTATTTTGTATTACACTGCAGAGCAGAAAACACTTTTTGTTATTTATTCCCCCTATTTTAGTGGACTGCTGGGATGGACCAGACGGAGAACCAATCATTCACCACGGCTACACTTTGACATCCAAAATTCTTTTCAAAGACGTCATTGAAACAATTAACAAATATGCCTTCACTAAGTCACCGTAAGCTCTGCTTCATCCTTATTATGCTGAAACTGTTCCTGGGTTGTTTTTAATTTCACTATGTCATGTCGGCTCTGCCCCAGGTACCCTGTTATCCTGTCCATAGAGAACCACTGCACTGTGCCCCAGCAGAAAAAGATGGCTAGATATCTAAAAGAGGTGCTGCAGGATAAACTGGATCTGACTAATGTCAGTGTGCATGAATGTAAGAAGCTGCCTTCACCTGAGGTCCTGAAAGGGAAAATCCTAGTCAAGGTACACATTATTCATCTCAATCTAAGCATAGGGGCATCCCGATCTAATATTAATATCAGAAATTGGTTCAATAACAGCCAAAAAATATATATGAGAGCATATAGAATAGAATAGAATTCAACTTTATTCTTATTGCACTGTCAAGAGTACAAAGCAACGAAATGTGGTTTGCATCTATCCAGAGTTGCTATACAGGATATAAATGTTATTACAGGTGTATGCACAAGCAAAAAGTAATAGTTAGGGACTGTAAAAAGTTGTGTATAAATATAAATATGAATATGGGAGCTACATGCACAGATTATACAGAATATAAAGGAATGTTAGGAAAAGGATTACATATGTATTAGTGGGTTTATAATACAAGATAAATAATGGCAGATAAGATTTACAGATTGTATACAGATTGTGTATACAATACTGATTGTATACACAATCTGTATACACAAGCCTCTAAAATCTCTGAAATTAGAAAGCTCATTGAAATACTTTGCTTCTATCCACTTTTGTCTAAAGTTTATGTAACTCTTTGGTGAATAAGAAATTGTTCAGTGGTTCTATTGTTTGATGTTATTAAGTGTTGTTCTCTGATAAATATCATTTTATCAGCCTTTTCATTCAATTCACACTATAAGACTAAGCAATAAAAGTATGTATGATTCAAGCTCATATATTAGTTAATATCAGAGTAGGTCAAAAGCTGCAATATCGGTATTATATTGCAAATAAAGAAATTGTATCAGGATGCTCCTGTCAAAGTGAAGTAGGGTGTATAATTAAGTATGAAAAAGAAATATAAATCCTTATTATTCAGGGGAAAAAACTTCCAGCAAACCTTGACCCTGATGTAGAGGAAGGAGATGTATCAGATGAAGACTCTGGGAATGAGGATGAGGA